AATATACCATCAACACCTCCCCCTCCTGCCAGCTCTTGCATTGCAGGGTTTCCACCGTTTCACATAAATTTCATTTGCTCTCGGGAGATACTCGTGTTTAATGATTGTTTAGTCAGTATAGCGATTAGGCTTTGGGCTGGGCGATCGCAGTTCGATTCCCGGCAAGGTAGATTTTTTTTCTACTCGCTACAGTGGTCTGGACCGCCACGGTGGTCTAGCGGTTAGAACGCTGGCCTTGTAATCCTGGGGGCTCGGGTTCGATTCCCGGCGGTGCCCGAATTTATAACTTGTGTTGGGCAAGGCCGTGGTCTAGGCAACACGGAGTTTTCCTCCGGGGGCTTCCCCGGTTTCTCCGTGGCATCCCATTCACACACAGAAGAAGGCAATGGCAAACCACTTCTGGATCATCTGCCAAGAACGTATATGAACAGGTCCCAGTCCGAGAAAAGGATGGAAGGATCCTGTTCATATGGACCTGTCGTCAGACAGAACACTATACGTTAATAACAGTGGTCTGACGGCTCTGCCTCGTAGCCGATGGGGTCTGGCGTTCTTTATTCGAGGGTAAAGTAGCTGGAGTGCGAAGCTAACCACTCAACTTCCATCTAATGATTTTAATCATAGATTCGGGTTCTGCGATGTCACCTCGAAGTAGATAAAGACAGTTTCCTTTGTAGCGTAGTCTACATAACCATCGTATCGTTTAGTTTTGTACTAGATTGGTAGCCTTGCTACTAATATGGCGTCCTTAATACCCCACGAATAAATAAACTGGACGCTGCTGTTTAGTGGTGAGCTCTCGTATTCCGGAGGTCCCGTATTTGATTGTTGGTCTCGAGGCCGGATGGCGTGTTCTTTCTAGGTTTTCCAGAGTTCCCATTGCCAAATGTGGAGGCAACACACCTATACAGCTACCATTTAACAGTTGGTAGGAATCCTGTCATGTGAATCTATGTACCCTTTGCAGTTGAGGCGTTGTCGTTAAACTAAATATACGATGAAGATTGCTGTCTTCTGAGGTGTTTCGCCGCATATTCTGGTGGATGTTGTTCTACGTTTCAGAGGTACCTGTAGCCTCCATCAGGGCGATGGGACTCATCGCCCTGATGTTGGAGGAAGTAAGTACGTCTGAAACGTCGGTAAACTTTATCAGACTACACTGCGTAACATCCCACCGGAAGACAGTCGTCTTCATGCTGGCCGCCGTGAGAACCTGAGATCTCCCACAGATTATCGGTTTTGATAGCGCCCAAAGGGCATTCACCTTTGTCTCCCCTCCGCTGAGCCCGTTCTATCTATCAGCCTTATCCATTCATTTACTTCACTCATTCTTATCCCATAATACAGCAGAACGGTAGGTCAAGGTTCTCTGGAATTACTCTTTGCAAGAGAGAGAGAGAGAGAGCGAGGGAGTGTGAATGCTTTGGCGGAAGGGGGGGAGGCTTTGAGGATTTATAGTTTATGTAGTAGACGTAAACGACTTGGCAACCGCGTGACGACTGTGGTACAATTCCGTTTATTGAAACTTCAGCACAATTTGATGCTATCTCTCTGTGATCTTACACTTTTGTGATTTGTTTAGGAAAGCTCCCTAGAAGGAATTTGTTTTCTGGCGCTTTGTGCTTTTATGCATATTTAAACATCATTTCTTGAATGCTGGCACAAGATGAAGATAATCAGCTTCACGCTTCGACCTCTTTACCCTCGTGGAATGAGCCCTCGATAATGCATTTGATACGAGGCGGAGTCGGCCCCAGAGGCAGCTTAGTCTGTGCAGAAGAGGAGTCCTGCCCCCGCTGGAAATCTTTTTCGTCCAGTCCATATCCAGCCACTTTATTGAATTAGCAATTCCGTGAAGTGTTTCTGAAAATACACTTACCATGCAATTTCGCTTATAGTGTTCAGGAAGGGCCTCGCACCGTCCGTCTGGCCTCTGTTAGTGGACTGCAATTACACTGGCGTTGCTTAAAAGGCCGCAACGGGTCCTGCTTTGATGGAAAGAGAAGGTGTCTTCTTAAAGTACGTCATATTACCTCTTCATTCCCACTTGATTCCTCTTCCGCATATTCTTTTCTTGTATAGTTTTTAATATTATCCTTTCTTCTGTGCTTGTGACATCTGAACGTGATAAAACTGGCGGCCCGCGGACCACTAGTAATCATGCCCTCGAAATTGCTTCTTAATTTGTTACTATTGATCTCAAGCTCGTTTATTTATACAGCAAATGGTTTGAAATAAAATTATGAATCTTATCTTGTATTAGGATTTGAGGTTTTCGGGGCGGCGAGTCTGAAGATTTCTGTCTTCTGGGTTGTTGAGCCGGGTAAGTCTGGTAGATGTCCACACGGCGCAACAGCCCAGCAGACAGCAATCTTCGAATCTTATGTCGTCAGCTGCTTTCACGTTCAAGTCCCACACATGCTATCGACTTTGAAACCGTGCTGTAAAATTCAAGTATTTACGGTTTAAACAATCGTAAAATCTGAAGAAGAAAATTTGGAATTATTAAGTATCTTCTTGGTCAGAGGAAAGGAAAGAAGTTGGACCATTCCCTTGGGAGTTGCTGACGGTCTGGATATTTATTCTCAGACTTTTAATTTGAAAAACCGCCAACAGTTGCGAACTACATTTCCAAAACGTGTTCCGTTAACATCGAAATTGAATCTATACAACAAAATGAGTCTCTGCTTTGA